CGCTCTTCCTAACGCAGCCCAGGATGATTGAGAGGAGAGAAATTGGAGATGCTATCCCTGTCTAGCTCTTCCAATATCTGTTTCTTGACCAGCTGCTATCCATGAACCTGATGACACTGCCTGCCTATGCAACCTCTTGTGCAGAGAGCTAATTCAAGAAGTCTACCATCGGATGTGTAAAAGTATTTCCATCTGTTTGTAAACCCATATTCTACCAGCTTCATCAAGTGTTCTTTAGTTCTATTATCACAGATTATGGTGAATAACAATTCTGCATTCACTTTCTCCATTTTATCATGAGGACAATGTGCTATGAATCCCTTATTGGCAGAGCTTTTTTTAAAAGATCCCGCTAACTGTCAGAGAGTAAGAATATGACAGTCTGTATTGATTGATACTGTATCAATTCATCTGTCTTAATGGCTGTCAAATTAGAGATGCAAAATGATCTTGTTTAAAAAAACAAGAAAAACCAACCAACCAAACTCGTACACCACTCCTAAATGTTGTTCTGCTACGAAGAACATTTCACAAAGCCAGATTAGAGCATGTTCATGCAAGAATTAAATTACAAAAAAAGACTGGACAGCCACCACCAGTGGGAAAGCAGGCAAGGGTATATGGGATAAGGAGGAGCAGGAGTTCTCAGGCTGTCTGGCCACAATCAGGATTTGTGATATGGAACCACTCCTTGAGACACACCCTTTTCTGACAAATCACAACCTAAGCGCCATAACTTTTAAAGTTGTTAGAAACACATTAAAAATTCCAAGGGCATATGAAGCAAAATACTGACCCAAGATAATATTTTCTACCAGTTCAGACTTCTTAGAAAATATTAATAAACATACCTGTTCCTGAAAGGCTTTTAAATGATCAGATCTTAACTAATATAAAAAAAATAATAAGCACTAACTAATATGAAAAAAAAGTCATCGTACATCTAGAACAAATTCCTATTAGTGGATGATCTAGCACTACACAGATCCAGTATGTAGACCCAGTATGTATCTGTAGCCTTTCATGCATAAAGTTTCAAGATCTCTTTGAACATATTAACATTTTCTTTGCATACAGAAAAATACGTATTCACAACAAGTTCTATACCTTGCCTTATGTGAATATTGACTTTGCATGGAAAGAAAAAGGCACAGCACCATTTAAAAAAAAAAAAAAAGGAAGGGAAGGTATTTTCTCTGTCTCAAATTTCTCATATAACTTAGCCGAAGTAAACCTCCCAACCCCCTCTCAAGCTCTCAAACACTCCTCATGGAAATATATTGACTTTGAAGATGTCATTTACTTTGAAATCCCATCAACCTGCTAAACATCAAAATGTTTTACAGTGCTAAACTGAAGGTTTCCAAGAACAGGCACTGTAGCATCTAAAATCTCCAACACCTGTTGTTTTTTAAATAGTTATTAGATAATATAAAATATTACTGCTTTCCAGAAAAATTTGTGTAACAACTCAGTGGTGGTCAATAGGGAAAAAAATACAACTTACTTTTACTCTTCTGATAGCATAGGTGTGACCAAGCAAGATGAACACTGGTTGCCGTATGTTCCGCAAATCCCAGCCTTTCAAGCTACAGTCAACTGCACCAGTTACCAGCAAGTTCTGTTGATTTGATAAAACACAGATATATCAGGACAATTTAATTATTAAATTGTAGTGATGTGTATGTTGGCTACAAAAGTTAGATAAATCAAACAATACGGAAGAATAAATCATAAATGAGGTCTCCAGTGTGTAAATTAAGGAGAACAGAGAAATACAAACTTTTTCTCCACTACAGACTACTCTGTCTACTATACAAAAGAATAAGCAAAACCTCTCATCTACTTGGGCCGTCCATCTGTTGGAACAATGCTCTTCTGAAGATGGAGTAGTAGCAAATGAGAGCAACAAAGCAACTAGACATGTTGTCTATTTAATGACAGTGGTTCAATTAGGAAAAGAGTTGGACGCACAGGTTTATACCTCATCATATTTGCACCAGTCACAGCTCAAGATCTCGGCCTGGTGGGCTGGTATCACAAGTTTGGCTCCTGGGGCCTTCACATCCCAAACTCTTAAAGTCTGGTCACCTGAAACAAAGAGATTGATTCAACATTGTTGAATCAGTTATGGGATACAGTTAATCCACTAGTACTTAGCAGACAACTGTTTCTTAGCTGTATGACATACAAACTATTATATGAGGACACTCATGCCAAATAAAGCAAGCACGTTATAGACACAGAGATCAGACTGATGCACAACAGGAATCAGAACTTACTATTCCTCTTTCATTAGGAAGAAACCCCCTTCATTTTACTACTAACACTTCCACTATTTTTTAAACTCTGATTTGATTAAAAGGAGATGGGGTAAAATACTTAAATAACATTTAATTCAAGTAGGAGCTTAAGGTCCATTTAAAAATGGACTTAGAAGACCAGAATCACAAAAAAACTTTCTCTGCAAGCCAGCTGAGAAAAAGTACCTAGACACATGCTTTTGGCGTGCAGAAGAGTGAATAGTATTTAAAACGCAACTTATCTCCAGATTCTTTCAATGAATGGAAACTTTAAGACACGCTACCTGTACTCAACATGTGCAATTGCTTTTCGATTTTTTTCCATCATGGTTCTCTCATTAACCCTGAATATTTAGCTTCTCTAGCTCATTTGTTTACAGAGAGAGAAAATTAATCAGAATTCATCATTATGCCTGTGTTCATTCAACAGACAAATGAAATCATTACAAGCTGTATCCAAACACCCATGATTTCTACAGAAAGCATGTATCAATACTACCTAAATTAAAAAACCACTGTTTTACCTTGCTACTGAAGAAATTACTAATGTTTCTTTACCAGAAACACTTCTGGAAATCCTCGAATTAGTTATCATTAATAATTATGATTTTTACACTGTTTAGATACAAGCATTTTGATGGTTTTAGTGCCCAGTTGGTCACTGGCCTTAAAATATACAGCTGGGCACAGAAAATCATAGCTCTTTTCAAGAAACTGGCTACAGTTCAAACAAAACCATCCCTAGAGCCACAACAACAACATTCCTATTGCACAAACTACCAGGCCCTGTAGTCTGTGCAAAAAGACATAAAACATTTGGGAAGTTTGAATACAAAAATGAAGCTAGAGAGAGCTTGGTTCCACTACATGACACGAGACTGGCCCTTATGATGGTGGTACTACACAGATCACAGGAAACTTTGCTCTGATGGTTGGTTGGCTTTTCCTCAGACTCCATGATTGTGAGAGATACTATACTCCTGGTGGAGAAATTCCCTACCTGTGAGGTGGGAGCAACACATGTTTTCTCATGGTTTTCACTCCCCTCGCCTATTTTAATACCCTGAAGAGCAAGACTACTGCTCAGTATATCTATAGCACTCCTGAAAATGACACCCTGCAGTCAGCTGAAGCCCAAAACATCACTACAGTGCTTATAAAAGGAGGGCAACATATGGAGAGGAAGAAACATGACCAGCAGGGTCTTGGCAAAAAAAAAAGGTAGTATGCCCATCCACCCACCATTAGTCTTGTTAATCTGTTTGCCTGCAGAGGACAGATTTCAGTTCAAGTCTTAAATCTTTCAGAGATATTATAATGGACTTCTTAAAAAGCTTTTATTTTAATTTCATCAGATAACATAGATTTGAAGGGGAAACACATACTTCACTACAGACAGGATCATTTTTCCCAAGCAAATAAATATATAAATCCAGGTGAACTAGAATGAACTGCTACAGAGATGGGCCACAGTAGCATTATGAGGGCCAAAAACATTTGGAGAAGTAAGTTACTCAGCCAATAACAATTTTGACACTAAATATACAATTGCCCCAATTATTTCTTTTTTAATAGAAAATGCTGATGCACAAGAAAAAGTCATTTTTCCCTTTTTTTTTTTTTTTATTTCTTTGAAAATGCTCGACTTAGCTGTTTTTAATTCTGGCTGGCACTATTTGTGAAATGTTTTCAATGGAGTAACATAACATGCAAGTGAACCTTTCTGTGAATAGAACAGACTGAATTAAAGCCAAAGGCAAACCCAATTTTTCCACTTCAGCTGTAAGTGGAAGAATCAGATTAATTAAAGGAAAAAAGCTGATAAACAGGGTAATCCTGACAGATTACACATTTTAACAAAGTTTTATTTTTTACCTCAAACATCTATCCATGTCCTCACTATATATATTTTTTTTTTTACATTTCATTTCAACAAAATTGGTGTTAAAAATTTTGGAATTTTCACATTTCCATGATTCCTTCAACTCTGCATTACAAAGGATGCATTTCTTCCATATGGTAAAGCAGAAGTAGGATAATAATAATAGAAAGTACAAGTAAAGCACACCTAGTACAATCATATTCACTAACAGCCACTTCCAGTTGGCATCCCAAAGTAAGCAACCACAAAAGCGGCCAACATTTCCCCCACAAAATATTTCTATTTTTGTAAGAAGCAATTCTCTATGGCAACAGATTTTTGCTGGTCTGTTAGATAATTATGATTCCAGATTTGTTTGTATATTGTACTTGCTTTCTTTCATTTTAATGAATATTTGTGAAATCTTGGACGAATCAATAGAACTACACAATATACACTCATCTATTCAAAACTTCTGAAAGAGATGCTAATCTACAAGTACATCATCCCCGTATATGGGATAAAGACTGCTAATGTGAATGACAATGTACGATTGTGAAAAGATACAGTTTAGTTAAGATTTAAACTTCATGTAGGTTTTATACTGCCTTTTTGCTCACAGATGAATTTTACCCAACTCCATAAATCATAATCTTCTAAGTCCTGTGACAACAACCAGCTAAACAATCATTGCCAGACAGTGCAGAGGTACAACATTAGCTATAAAAAATAGCTAGGTATTTGAGAGATTAATAAAAACCCAAGAAACCTTAAACATTATCTGAAGGCAAAAAGGATTCTAACCAGGACAGACACAATGTTTTTCAAGAACCAAAGTACTGTTACCGTGAAGTTTTACTTAAAAAAACTAATCTGACTTTTTTTTTTTTAAGTTCTAAAGCAAGAAATCTGATCTTCTGACACCATTCCCTCATCGAGAGGGGAAAAAACCCAAATAATGTATCTTTAATTTACTGTAGGAAAAGAATTCAGCATAAAAGACACAAACATTGGTATATACGGTGTAACATCAAAGAAATCTCGATTAAAGTACTTCTGCAGTGCCACTGAGTGATTACAAGTTAACATTACTTGCTTACTTGTACGTATTTTAAAACACTAAACCAGATTAAATTATTTAGCCAGAAGCAAATAGAAAATCTGTGGGAGAATGAAGAGCAGAACCCAAATCTCATGACTCTCAAAACCAATCTTTTTAAGCATGTTAAAATGACCATGCTGTCCGTTTCTATCATAGGTAGTATAAGCGAACCTAGAACAGGATTAATAAAGCTCATGAGCTTCCACACAGAGACAGAAATAGAGTGACACAAATAGCAGCTTTATTTAAATCATCCAACAGGACCCTACTGAATGCACAAAATCTATTTCCATGTAGCACAACCTGGATATCAAGTAAACATAATTACCAGTGGAAATGTACTTTCCAACTGGTAATTTTTTGGTCTGACACAAAATGCTGTAAAGCTAAAAATCAAAAGATCTTTAAGTTATTTCAGAGAAGACCTCAGAGCTTTTTTTCTGAAAAGAGTAAATTGTTTAAAAAAAGGAAAAAAATCAATGAAAACTTTTATTTCATTGTTCTCCAAGATGATTAAGCATAAATCTTGGGACAAAATTTTTATTTCAAAATTGACCTAACTTCTGACTTATTATTAAACCATTCTTCAGCAAGTGGCAATACTCACTAGATACCTAACTCTAACCCAAAATGACCCAAAACTTCTTAATTCACTGTAAAAAGCTGTTACTGCATTTTTCTTCTCAACACTAAACCATTACCTTACAGTATGAGATTCTAATATAAAATACTATAACCTGAAGTGCTTTACATTCTAGCACGTGCTGCATACAATACTTTACTATGGTTAGCACATACTATAAATTGAGGGCCAAACTCATTTCCTGAGAAGTATTTCAGGCTGTACATTAGTGATTGATTTAGTAAAGCTTACCGAGCACAAGACTCAGATGAATTCAATACGGTGCTAGTCTGTCTTGAAGCAATACATTGCAAATGACAACACCCACCTCACTTCGTTACATAGATTCGACACAACAAAGTAAGCAAGTAAATTGTATTTTAATAGCTTCTAGCATAAACAGCAGTTTAGCTGAACCACAACAAAACACAGTAACTCCATAGCCACTTTGCTCTCTAGACGCTCGACTGGTACAACAAGGTACAATTCAGTAAATTGAAGCCTCTTATTCTTTTCTTTCTCAAGGATTTAGATTCCCAAAACGACCAAGTTTTGCAAAGCCTTAAACCTTGTTCATGACTGCATTTCTTCTAGCACATTCAACAAGCAAATAACCAGGAAAGAACTCATAAGAAGCTGTCGTGGTTTAACCCCGGCCAGCAACTAGGCACCACACAGCTGCTCGCTTGCTCCCCCTGCCCTGGTGGGATGGGGGAGAGAATCAGGAGTGAGAAACACTCCTGGGTTCAGATAAGAACAGTTTAATAATTGAAATAAAATAGAGTAAAATAGTAGCAGTAGTAGTAATACTACTACTACTACTATACAGAGCAAGCGATGCACAATGCAATTGCTCACCACCTGCTGACCGATACCCAGACAGTCCCCAAGCAGTGATTGCTGCCCCCCTGGCCAACCCCCCCCAGTTTCTATACTGAGCATGATGTCGTATGGTATGGAATAGCCCTTTGGACAGTCTGGGTCAGCTGTCCTGGCTGGGCCCCCTTCCAGCTTCTTGCTGGCAGGGCATGGGAAGCTGACAAGTCCTTGACTAGCATAAGCAGTACTTAGCAACAACTAAAACATCAGTGTGTTATCAACACCATTCTCAGCCTAAACCCAACCCACAGCGCTATGCCAGCTACTAGGAAGAAAATTAACTATCCCAGCCAAAACCAGGACAGAAGCAAAGAGTGGACCCAC